ACACTAGCTCGGTGAAAATCATTCGCTACTTGGTTGATTTAGCCCACTGCAGCATTACCGTCGGCCTGGGTCCCATAGGCTACGCACGCTACTTGCAGTCCTGTTTTCGCAATGCCTCCGCAACTCAGACTTAATGGCCCCCACCTTCTCTATCTAATAATTCATTTTTCTCCGAATTTCCGCGTTTCTTAACCAGTTCACCATCTTCAGCTCGAACAATAAATAGTCTTGTCCGCTGCGATAAGGAGGGGGGAGGGCGTTGGGTTTTTTTTGGACCAGCCTGTTCTCATTAATTACTGGAGTGTGCGAGCGACAATAATTGGTGGAAATTGGGGTGGAGTCGCGCTAAACCCGCATCCTGACAAACCCCAGCATCCGAACAAGACTTTATGTACGACTGTTTACTGTATTATCCATATTGATCGCGATAACCCGTTACTCACGTCATTTCCTTTATAAAATGTTCTCTTGTTGTTTTGCCTTCCTTTTCAATCTTCTTGGTTCCAGTTTCCGAATTCTTTCAGGTCCTCAAAGGTTGAATCCTTCTAATTTTGCCCTTCTGGCCCCTCGTTTTTTTCCGATTTCCGAAACTTCCGTTTCACCATAAGTACATTACTTTCTTTCCGTTTAGGTCCTACTTTACAACCGCGTTGAACTCATGTACCTTCAGGTGACTTTGACGGCTCACTAGATCATTTTTGGAGTCTTGCCGATGTACCCGTTCAGTCGACTGTCGGTGAGACGAGCCAGATCATTGTCGGTGTCTGTGGACGCACCCTCGACCAGCTCGTCAAGAAGACCTTCTGCAAATTATCTACCGATTGAAAATGGTCACATCAGAGCTGACACACAACCGTACACGGTGAATCTCATCGCGTCATGGAGGTATGTACGGTACTGTCATTTATGGGTGTGTAGACGGATGGGTCCACGCGTCGCGCAAATTCGCCGCGCGTTACGCGCGGACACATAACACCGGATCAAATCGTCGTCTGCAGAGATGTTTGCCAACTAAAAGTAAGCAGTAATGAAGCTTGATCTTCATGATCTAGAAAATTTGACTGGATTCTTCTATTTTCGTGCACTTACTTGCACGTTAGTCGTCGGAGCAAATTGTAGGGGCGGAGACGGTCAAGTATTGCTTATTGGCGTGCCGTTCTCGTTACAGTTTTAGCAGGAAAGACGCGCGCAAAGGATCATGAAAGGGCAGCACCTGTCATGATGAACTCGCGTGTACCATGCCTTCAAAAATTTTCCTTGAAATCAAACAAAAAGTAAGAGAATCTTTTCGAAAATCTATCGAAAAAGCCGATCATTCATAGAAGGCTAGAGAAACGTGAATTACCATCAATCAGTGCGTGTCGTGAAGGCGGCATTTGGCCCATTTGAGAAAATGGAATACTTTAGATCTTGCGTCTCCAATAAGAGGTCGGGCCGGAGAATAGGCGGGGCTTCAGAAGCACTGTGACTCCTCATTAAGCAGGCTCCATACTTCTTACTGGAAGGAAAGGCAAACTAACTGAAAGAAGCGCTAATTCATCGGTCTCCGCCCATTTTCTAGTTATCTTGTATAAGGATCCTTTATTCATACAAAGTATTACCAGACCACATCATGAGCCTCGCAGAATCCATTCAGCGCTCTCGGAAGTAAGATGAAACAATGTAATGTCCGTCGCGCATATGGGCGTCGCGCGCGACGTCGCGTTCGCAAATGACGAGTTTTCTAGATCGTAAAGAGCGACGATAAAGAATCCGAAAATAGCCATAAATGTCTATGATTACATGATCTACATGAAATGATGCTCCATCGACACTCAACGAAACTGAGAAAAAACGAGCGCGCGTACAGCAGCGAAACACACGATGTCTTGACGTCTCACTGCGTTTGGCTGGCGATTCGCGACCTCAAGCGCATGCTAACGGCCCTGTTAACTCTTTCTTCTCACCTAGTTTGATTTCCTAATGTTTCTTCAACGTTCCTACTGCTAATATTTTCATTTCAGTGGAGATGGAAACATGTGTTCGAGATTGATTTACCCGTACTGATGACGTTGCAGATTTTGGCATTATTCCCAAATCCCAACTCGAATCGAAAATCTCGCTGGAGGCGGGCTACGGTATGTACATTGAATGCGTTACTAATGTAAGCAAAAAAAAAAGAACAAATCATCTAGCAAACAGCAACGGAAGCGTGTCCGTAATTTAGGGCTTTTTCTGTGAAGGGTGAGAAGGAGTGCAAAAGTGACATTTGCACTCCCGTTTTCTCATGTCGCGCTTGCCTGATACGTGTGCACTTCATGTTGTAAAAATGGAGAGGGTGTAACTGCGCAGTTCATCTGAGCATAGCCTAAGATGTGTTTTCCCCGTTTATACTTTGTGCGAGAAGCGTAATTCACCGCAAAAGCGTAACCAGCGCCACGTCCTGTTTGCTGATGAACACTACCTCCGGCAGTCTTTCCGAATGCGTAAACGCGTACAAATTCTAATCTGGTCTATTCAGCGCGCTATCTCTATGCTCAACTTCTCAGCAGTGGCTATTTTATTCAATTGCTATCTACTACATAAGAATCTATGGTTGATAACGGCTTTTAGGGTAAGCAAACATTACTATGGTATTTTTCACAGTAGCACTTTTCAAACGAACGGAGCATTCGTCCGCCACTGGTGCACAAGAACATAGGCGAGACAGGTTTCCGCAACGAAAACGAGACTCCAGAGAGGGTGTGCCATTCCCACATGAAAAGTTGAAATGTGTGACGTCATGGTGGTCACTGAAGGCCATGTGCAGGGGAGGGGGGGAAGACACTTGGGCGAGTCACATATCAGCAAAGTTTTCGCAGCCCAGACAGAGGACGTGGATACGAGTACCAGGGCGGAAGATACCCAAGATGTTCCTCGATAAGCAGGAGCAGGCTCTCGCCCATCACCTTCATGTACACCAAAATATGAAGTCATCAATCCAATCGCAGCCAAAAAGGCCTCTGGAATTAACGTCTCCTCCGAACAGCTGCGGAATTTCTTGAATGGAGTTGCCCAGCTACCGAGATCAGTACTCTTGATCTGGAAAACTTCCAACATCGAGCAGCTCCGACAACGTCGCTACGGTCCAGGATATCATCTTCACCTGCAGTCGCCAAGGCGCGGTTGGTGGTATTATTTATCGGAAGTTCCCGGAATGAGGAAAGCCCGATAATTTCTGACCGGAAGTTCCCGGAATGAGAAGACCGATATATTTTTCGTGGACCCCGCACTGAAGGTCAGCGCTGTCGGTTACATCGGGGAGAATATCCTGCCTTCATGTCATCGCCTGTACCTTCTTGGGACTTCGTACTGCTACAGGATTGGGTGCCTCCACACGGAATCGAAGGGCGTTGGAAAAACTCTCGCCTACTTGGAATGGAAGGGCGTTGAGTACCTGAAGAAGACGGAATATCCAAGTGTGTCACCTGACCTAAACCCCCTCAATTACCCGGTTCGGGCGGAGCTCAACAGGGTGGTCTACAGTGGGGAGAAATCAACGACCTCGCTGAACTCAGGTACCGAATTACGCCATCGAGAGGTTGTGGTCGAGTGACAGAACCTCTCGATGGCGCTGGCGGAGCATCATGATAGTATACAATGTGCTGTTGAATATGGTGGTGGAAATGTCCAATCAGAATTTAATTAAGTGTAACTTATAGCGCCTTGAAAGTCAAGGAAGAAAAGTGTCCTTTTTTTGCCCCCCCCCTGCAGACGGACAGCACAGGCCATATCGGGAACCAAAGGGAGCTTGACTTGAACGTAATCCTTGGAGGGACTTACACTTCCTAGGAAGGGCTATCATATCTGCACAGACTGCAGATTAGTGGAAGAGTTCAAAAAGTGGTTCCCTAAATCTATTGCGGAAAAAAGCGTAATCTGAAGGGTAGCTCCCCCTCCCCCCCCGACTTTAACCAATATTGCTTAGTTAGTTTAAGAATTTGGTATGTAGCCTACAAAACACCATAATCACGTCTCTAATCCGATTAACCTTTGGATTTTTCGCAAGATTTCCTCGTAATACGTCGGGACAGTCATGATTCAGGAACGATTCGGCCTTAATGCATGCTTCAACGGTTTCATGTATCATAACTGGTATCAAACCGATGATCAATATATTTCTGATCGGGCTTTTTGCGATTCGTGTACGAGAGCATATGCGACTGATCAAGGTACGTCAGTTTCATCTTTCCTCTTCTCACTCAACGTTACAGAGTACACTGAGAGAATCCCATCACTGGTCGTGTTAAACTGGTGGAAGCTGCACTCCCACCAAATCCGAAAAAAAATCTGAATCTGAAGGGTTTTTTCTGATTGTTGACTTTTTCCCGCTACACGTGCCCTGCACGCTTCCCCCAGTTGCATGAGCCGCAGAGCAAGTGTGCGAATAATATTCTCGTAGGTGATTGGAGATGACACCATCTTCCCGCCCCCACCCTCTCTTCGCGAACCGTTAACTCCAATTTTTTGGAAACTGATAGGGAGTAGGGAGAAGTCGGCAAGAGGTGGGAGGTAGGATGGGGAATGTGTGAATGTCGTACTGGAGGGGGACAAGTTCTGTACTGATCGGCCACTACACAGTCAGTTGAAGGCGGTTGTGGATGAAAAGATCCACTTTCCGCTGACGCCTACAAATTGACCAACCGGCTTGACATGATGCAACAGTTAAATCAATAAGGTCATGGAGCGAATGATGCTTGCGCGACGCGTCGCCGCTGTGCATGTCCTGAGATGCGCTCGCCAAAGCCAGACTACATCATTCGAGTCTATAAAATTTTCATTCAGAGACCAAATCATCGATTTTATGGGTCATGTGAATGGGGGTCGGCAAACCTCCGTGAACTGCCCGGTCCTTCAAACAATGCAGTGATTTCAGACCTTGGACAAAATCGATTTGAGCTTTCGTGGAGCCTTTCATTTATCACCACCTGCTCGAAAATACGTGGCCGTATTTTTTGTACTCGTTCGTATTTTTTACCGTGATGCCATTTACCTTCAAAGTCGTCGAATTCATCTACACTGATCAGAAGTAAGTGCAGTTCAGTTTACACACACCTATCTGGTTACCTAGGCGGTGCCAAGCTGATCCCTTCCAATATAGCGAAGAAGAGCGACGCGCCAATAGTAAAGGAACAGTGGCATATCGGACTCCGCCCATATAGTCATCGGAATGTGCCGTTAAACAAGTTCGGGGCGCAGATGAGGACACCTTTTTCCCTTTCTTCCAACTCCTCTGTTCTTACTTAACCCCCTTCCTGACATGTTTCCATCACTTTCGTGCACGCATCTTTCCACTTCCCTTACCAGTTCTATGCATTTTACTTCACCTTTGCGTCCCGCATCTACTTTTCTTTGCTCAAGTTTCCTTAAAATGCCTTCTTTTTCCTTTACTCCCACCCAATTAACACGCGCCTGATCTTCATTTTCACCTTTTATTCGCCACAAAAGCGCATGGCAAGGAAGCCATAGGTCTCATGTGTGGTAGTCTACGCTATCCGGCTTGCATTAACGGCCTTCCAGGCCGTTGCTGCATGGTGATGTGATGTTGCTCGTTTTCTGTATCCTCTCGCGCTTCGTCTTCCTGATCCTTGTCTGTGTGACTGTTTCTCCACCGTATGCGCATAAAACCAAAATGAAGTGTAGAAAGATGGCTTCCAAGTATTAATAAATGCTTGGAACGGTTTCTATGTTGTTTGCTGACGGACCAGCCCACACTTAATTATTCCCGTTTGCACCCGCTAAGTACTCACGGTGACAGGAGAAGAATCCGGCATCGAAACATCCCCAGCAAGGTTTTCTCATGAATGAGTTGGGTTGAAGTTCATGAGAGTATTGTTATGACGTCTGAGGTTCGCATGGTGTTTACCATCTTTCTAAGGAATGTTTATCCGGATAATCTGGCAGGGAATTTAGTGGGCGACAATCTTTACGTGGATAATAATTTCCAAAAGACGAGGAGATTTGGAAATCTACCATGTTCACGGCCACAGGGGAGAGCGCTCTTATTACTTTAATTTAGGGCATAGATTAAAGATTAAAGGCACATGGTCGATTTTCATTGGCCAGTAGTTGTAGGTGGAAGCTCTTTTAGCAAGCAACAGCGACAATTTTGATAGATGGTGCATTGTGAACTGTAAAAGATTGCGCAGCTTCAACGTGAATGCATTTGTAAAAGCAACCTGGAAAAAGAGCCAGCCAAGCCCAGTTTCCCTGACGCACCCCAGCATTCGCAGCGAACAAGACTGTATCTTCAACTCAATAAAAAAATGCTTCCACCGAAAATTGCTCACTTATTTTTTGCTAGTCAAAGGTACCTCCCACGAGTACCTACTAGGGGTGGTGGGATTTGGATACAAGTGCGAAAGTAATAAGGAGCTCAGCAGTGATGAGAAAATAGAACGTTGTTCTATACCGTCCAAGGAAGGCGGCTTTTTGAAGATTTGAGCGTGACGCAACCAGAGAGGAGAAACACGGAAATGAGACGGATGTCATAAACGATGTTACGGCGGCAGAGCACACAGACGAACGTGAACGCACCGTGATGCAGAAATTGTCGAATAATGCGAGAAGGGCCAGGTTTGCCTACCCTGGCGGGGCATTCTCCAGTATAGACTACTGGCGGTCTTGCTGCTTATTGTTAGTTTTAAACCGTAACACTGGTATATTCTCTGCGAATGTGGACCTTGAGCTCTGTGAAAAAATGAACGATGCACATTGAGTATCCGGGGAATGTGTCTTTGGGTACAGCTGGCGCCAGACGCGTGACACACGCAGACTTACACAAAATATGTCGCATCGTAAATGATGGCCCCGTGGTTGGGGAGGGCATCTGGATCCGTTTGATCTTCACGATTGATCTTGATAGATGGTGCATTGTAAATTGTAAGAAATTATGCAGTCTCAATGTAAATGCATTTGTAAATGACGTGCATTCTCCATCTCAATTATTTACCAAATGTTCAGTTCTTCAGGTTTGGGACTGGCGTTATTCAAGACACCGCCTTCATTATAGTGCCTGCGCTATCGCTATGGAATGTCGTCCCATTGCTCTATTATGACTTGTACAATCGCCTTGTTCGATTCTATTGCAGGTTTGGACTTCTTCGTAGTTTCTCATAATTTCACTGGAATCTAAGTTCTACTTTTCTCCTCATGAAAAGCACTGTTCCCTTAACTGCTCACTGTTTTGCCGGTAGCGTTTATGAGCCGAAGTTTGTGCGAATTCGATCCGATTATTCACTGTTTGGTACTTGACCTACTATTGAACTCTGACGAGCACCCCTGCTTCGGATTTTGAACTCAATCCTATGCATGAGTTCCAAAAGAAGTGGGGAACAGAAAAAACTCTCTTCTCAAAATTTGGCGAGCTTCTACGAAAGCGAGGAAGCTTTCACGGCTTCCGGTTATCCAGCAGTGAAAAAATGTGAAGACTTTGCAGAAAAGGAATGGAGCTCAGCTAATCTTATTTATTTTTTAGACGAGTAAACTCTATAAGCACTTCGGTCGCTGAAGAGTGCATGTGAAATTAGGGACGTGAAAAAACTGTAAAAATCCGAAGTTGTCACAGATTACTAAAAGAATAGGCAGAGCCGCTTCTATGTCAGCGGATCAGAGTATGTGCGAAGTTGCAGAAATATAAAAAAGCCACAAAACCAGAAGTTATAAAATAAATTTGAGAAAGCATGATGGATCTGGTGAAGATTGTCGTAGCTATCTGACGCGGCGCTTGGGGTTAGGTCTACGCGCCGTATGTGCACAATTAGCTGCCCAGTGTAAACCAGTATGGTGGATTACTTTAAAAAAGGCAGATTTGGTCTGGAAATGATGAATCAGTATGAAACGGGCAGGTATATGGTTTCTTGTCCTTGCTTCCCGAAACCCGTTTTCGCATCTCATTGGTATCCTTGGATTGTAAACGCAACTATTAACCGCCTGCGATCGAGAAAAGTCTCCAATTATTCCTACCAATAATGTGCACGAAATCAAAAAGAAAATTCTATAGCTACATGGCTATCTGTGCTGTGAGCAGCTTCATCCTCAGGTAGCAATCACTCGATCACACATAGAAACTAAACGAAATTTTACTGAAAGTATTGCATGCACTTCCGTTGAGAAACACAAACAAACAAACAAGACCACTTCGAGATTTCTATAGGAAGGCGTCTCCATGACCAGTGGACTTTATACGCATATTATAAGTCGCCAAAGTAACTAAAAAGGCCAGAACACGGCGAGGTTGCCATAAATATAAAAGGCGCGTAGCTCCAAGAAAAACATGCGAAAGGAGTGTTGAGAGGCCCATGGAACATTGGAGCGAGTTGTTCCCGCGCGATCATAATGTAGATTGCAGGGGTCAATTGCAGCGGCGATCGCAGTCATCGGCGCACATTCACAGGCTAATAAGTTTGGGTAACTGAACCAGCTTACGGTGTGCCCAATTGTGTGTATTCTTGAAATGGACACATTCAATTTCACGCGTAATTTTGGTGATACTGTATATCACCTGTTTTTCTTAAATTATAATCTTATCTATTTGTCCCGCTCGCTGAGAAAGAAATGTGGACTTTTATTACGCTGAACTTTTGTATATTTGAATCAGTGTCCCCTTGTACGAAACGTAAAATTCAAAAAAAGTAAAAATAAGTAGAGGAGTTCAGAACAGAATACAAAATGCAAAACGGTGTAAGATTAGTAATTAGTTAACTCGAGAAGATTACCATACTTCTAGGACACTTATCAAATCGCTAGATATGGAGCACCGTAAACGACACTTTGGCCTGAAATTTTACTATGAACAATTCTTACGGATCACTAATGTTCAGGTGTGTCTCTTATATCCTATTTTCAATCGATAATCCAATATTATCCATAAGCATTGCAGGAAGCTGTTGGTAACCTATTCAACCCTTTTATTCTTTTTTCGTTAGCTTGGTCAATGCTTGTGCTATGCCTCACCATATATTTCATCACGCAGCCGCATTCAAGGTATGTTATTTATTATTGATCGATACCCATGTCTGAATCTGACGGTACTGGACGCGCGCCATCGCAGCGCGGCTACCGGGAGTGATTCGAAGTTATGAAGTTGTGAATGTATCTTATTGAATACAAGGCAAACTTGTTATTGCTAACTTATTCATCGTTCAGCTTAGTGGAACCTATCTCTCCGGAGCAGATCACGGTACCAGAAATTAGGCGTCGATTGACACGCAGTGTTCACTTCACGATTTGTTGGGCCGGACTGCAAGTGTTAGTGGCCGTGATGCACATAAGCATTATATGCCATACAGGAATGAATACGAATGAGACGGTGAGTCCTGAGTGGAAACAGGATTCGGTAATGCTAAACATTCCTTCTCAGACTCGTGGTATCGTGAACGCCGTGCTGCGAATCGTTCCAGACGCAAACGCGGACCTTGACCGATTTCAGGTAAATTTTGATGATAGGACGCCAACGTAGTTGGTAAATTCAATCGCCATACGCTAATAGTAGATAACGGTCAGATGCGTGGCGCACCCCATAAATCAGCAACCAGATTTTTTGCAGATTTCATGCTTTGTGCACAAAATGTCCACGCAATTCATGTGGGGAATGACTGTGTGGAGAGCGTTCCCGTTGGAACGAACCTACCTTCTTCACGGTATGTCAATTAAATAGATTTTATTGGCGAAGCATTGTCAAAAGACTGTTTTCAGCTCGTTTCTGTGGTTATTACGTATGCCTTCCTGCTTCTGAAACTCAAGGAGAATCCGGCAATGACGCCCATAACTCGGCAGTTTATCATTCATAATAATGGCTCAATGGAATTCAGTACTACTTTATCGCCTTAAACAGCCAGAAAGATTCTTGTGACATCAAAGCAAGGAATATTCAAAGGTAAGGCAACTGCTTTGGGTGCAGTTCCGCTTGCGGGGGCACCGAATGGTACTCAGCGAAACCTGAACAGACCACCCTGTGAAAATCTGCAAATTCCGCTCACCAATGTGGCTGCCTTGTCCCATTTCGCATCCTTACAAAAGATTACCGGTTTTATCGTAGAGTTAACATGAACTAGAAAAAAGAAAGTAGCAAAAGTGTGAAATGCTCCTCCTGAGTCGAACAGCGCCGAATCTATTTACCCACATCGTGTTGGCTGCTGGCCGCCACCAATATCTGCAAGTTGCTCCGTTTTGGATGACTAAATTTAAAGGAACATTTTACTAACCACGACGAGACCAGCGGCTTGCCTACCACGTGCGTTTACTCGTTGGTCTAATTCCGGGTAAGTTCTAGCCCAAACCAACCGAGCTTTCCATCACTCAAAGCCCCAAATTGATACCTGATTCATTTAGGAGGGAAATAGCAATGTCAGCCTTCACAGGTGATTGTAAAGGCCATGTCGAGAACAATGAGCCAGTACTGTTCTGAATGGAAATAGAAGGCGTGGGGCATAAGGCACTAATGACGAAAAACGTCTGGGCGGACTGAGGCCTACCATTTTGACTTCCCTATAGGTACCACCTTTCCAGAGTGCTGGAAGGGGCGTGTCAGTGAGAGCGTTCGCGTTGATTGCTGCCTTCTATAAGACCATCATAGCTTCATATACCGTCGCTGACCTTACAACCACTTCGGCGGAGAATGTGGTCACGATAAACACTATCGCTCGATGAGGCGGGCTGATGAAAGGTTATAAGCGCCCCGCCTCTGCTCAACCGCTTCAAGGATCGGGTCCTACTGAGGGTGACACGCTCTCCCGTAGCTTTCAATAAATTAGCAACTGAGTTCTTTCACAGGAGCTGTGGGGGAGGGGAGGAGGAGAGGGGGAGAGAGGAAGTGTTGCCCGATTGTTGCACGGGCAAAATTCGCAGTTTAATCACAAGTAGGAGAATCAGAACTGAGTGTTGCATTGTCCATTATATCAATAACTTGGAACGCTCTTCTAGATCCTAATTTTATATATCTCTAGGTGACAACCAGACCACGATGGCAACAGTAGATATGATGGCGTGCGGGGAAATGACATTACATATTTCATCAGGATGCTCTTCAGGGCAATCATACAGGGCCATTTTCTTCATGGAAGAACAAGCTTATGCTTTAAAATGATTCTAAAGGCTTTCATTTATGTATGTGAACATGTAAATTCTGTATATATGGCAAAATGAATGTGTTACTTGATGTCTGCTCAAAAACTGTTCAGACCTTTCAATTGGTCTCTCTTCTGGAGAACAAAATATCCTTAAACCATAAAACGTGTCATGTGTTTGAAGAGTCCTCACCAAACAGGGTCGTATTTGAGTCGGTGGGAAGGGAGGAGTTGGGAGGAGATGCATCCCGTTTGCTGGCTGAAAACAGTGAAGTGTCTGGTACAATATTATGTGAAGCGGTTGGTCGCTGGTAGCAGAGGAAGGGGACAGCCCAGACGAAGAAGTTTTGATGAAGGATAGCATTTGGCGGAGTTTCGGGAGGACTTGCCCTGAGTGGAACTGCAATTGATAACCAGTCCATATCTCAAGGCAGGAAAGGGCGTTCCTAGGAATATGTAGTGTAGCGCGGTCGGCTGAAGGCCTCAGGAGGAAGTACATACAGCTATATCCGAGAGCCAGGCCGGGCCGAGGGGCATGAGGCAGGTATATGGTCAGCAAGCGGGGGGGGGGGGGGGCGGAGCCAGACTAAAATAGGGTAAGAAACGTCATTGGATTAAGAATGTCGGCCCTGAGGTACGTCAGCCCGGCTCGGTGGCACGCGCCTTCATTAGGCGGATAGAGCGTTTAGTCGTTCGAAAGGTCATTTCTAACTCGGGTAAACATGATATGTTTTCAGGCAACCCGCACACGCGAAGCGACGTTTCGAAACGGGCCAGATCTAAGTTGTCAAACACTGTAGGGAATTAAGGCTGGATGTGTATCGTAAAGTTGTGCTTCTGTCAGCCCGATTAGTCCAGGAGTCAAATCTTGGTTGCTTTCCCGCTCAACACTGGCAACGCAGGCTTAGGCCATTATTCATAAATTTATGTTGAAATGCTGAGCAGAGTTGTTCATAATTCCAGCCTGCTTTCAATAACTTATTGTGAAGGCATAAACGCACATTCAGATGCAATAATTTATTGAGAACCCATTGACATTAGTTTTTCACCAAGCCAGCGAACATGTCGTAATCTCTCGTATTTCCGTTACTATCTTGCTGAAATGAAATTTGTTACCCAACCAAAGATTTTAAGAGGGACTGAAAGTGTTTCTTACTAACCGTATAATAGCTCTTCATGCAGAAATTTGGGTCCTGGTGTAAGTTCCACGTGGAAACCACCGATGGAGGTGGTCCCATCTGAACACTGAGGGTCTAATACTTAACACTTGAAAGCGCTGTTTAGCCATAAGCCAATTCAAAGCGTGAGCACCGAGCTGTCTTGCATGGAATGTCCATCAGCGGTACACCACGCACTTGAGTTTCACTCGAAATGGAAAGCAGTTGAAAGTGTATTAGGCCTCCTCAGGTGTTAGGAAGCTGGCGGATTTATCACGTTCTTCATCAACATTCTGTGTTTCGGCGCCTCAAGGCACCTCATGGCGATGAAGGAAGTTCGCCACCCACCAGCTCGCCACCACCCGGACTTAATCGTGAGAGAGGGTATCTTCTTGGCGCCTCCAGTCCGTTCTCCACAAGATGTTGAAGTGGGCGAGCGGTTGGTGGAAAACGGGCTGCCGCCGCGCTAAACTCAGCCCCCTGACACTCAGCGAATAGCACTATAACCAGCAGCAGGGTACAGAGGTAAGAAAAGCCTGACTTCGAGAAGAATGGGTTCCACAGCCAAGGTGACGTGCACCGAGATTTTTACTGCGATTTTTGCCTATAAAAGTTTTCAGATCCCTCAACCGAGGGGTACTGCCTAGGTCCAAGTGAACGCGCTGCGTTACATTTGTTCCCGACTTGGCCTCCTTGAGACCCAGCTCAAGCTGTGTAGAATCTTAGAGTCTAATAGATAGTTCGTCTTACCTCATAAACTAAATAGGCCCATCCGGTTTTGTTAACCATGTAGTTGAGCGCTTCGGCGATGGTTTCCACATCAGTATATTGCTGGAAGACCTGATCAGCTATTGCAGAAACGTCAGGATCCACACAGAAATCTGGAAATTTGAGACCTTCTCTTGCTTCAAGAAAAACTGTCTCAGACACCCACCATCGTCGTCGGCTCTCTGTCCTTCCTTTGTGTAGGCTTCAACCACACGTTTCTCGCCTGGCATACTGTAGCTCTGCACTTTGAAGGTGGCTAAGATAGCAGAGATTCAACAAGTACCGTATAGGTAAGAGGTTCATTCTTCGAGGCGAAATTCGCATCGAAGAAACCTTCTTGAGGCAGAAATGGAGTTAACTTACGAGCACTGTCGGCTGCCTGGAAATCCATGGCGGCCTTGATCGATTTCCTATCCTTGCAGTGGGTAATGCACCACGCTGGCCTGGAAAAGTGGGATTAATGGATGGAAATAATGCCAGATATTCTTTTCCTGTAATGTGCCACGCATTCCGTTCCAGCAGGAAATATTAGCGACCTATTAAACCTACACAATTGCTTACAGTGGGCAAGTACTCTGCAAGACTGTATTTCTATTCTCTTATACGACTGCCTACCTAACCCAGCGAAAATGAAGGTCTCCGAAAATTCAAATTCCAATCCGACGCTAGGTTTGCCTCCTGTATAATGCTGGCGATTAGCAACCCCACTTGTCATTACACCACTGCGCCGAGGCTGCGCAGACCTCTAAGGTAAGTATTCTATCCCTCTTTTATTCCCGCCATATCTCTTGATACCTATGGTCAACATCGTCGCAATCAAGCAGGGCGATGTCAAAAGTTGTGGAATAAGCTCGCCAGCGCCTGGATGTTCTACCAGTACTGGCTGAGTTCAGGTAAAAAACAACCGCTACCAGAAAATGCAGCGGGTGAGCTCACTACTGCCTCCTGCATCCCTCGTGGTGAACTCTCCCCACCCGCTGATGGCCAGTTCAATAGGTTGCGAGCCATTTTGCATATACGCTTGTCATCTGACGTTCTCACAAGTGAACTTGCTGTCGCTGAAAATGTTCTGAAATCACCTGACAAAATCCAATCCGGAAGTGTGGAAGGTCTTGATTGGTACAGCATTCTGCAGCGTTTCGCTGCCAGTGGCTAAGTAGTTACATTCTGAAGCATACTGTAGAAGTAAGTCATAGAATGATGTCCAACCAAATTCAATTCATAGATCGGCCGCAGATTTTCATAGTATAACGAAATTCATTGAGAAAGTGAAATATCCCGCGGTTTGTACGAATGAATTAATATTAGTAAGTAAATGGTGGTAGTAAATCATTGTGGTAAGGCGGTGGTCTAACACTGAGCGTTATCATTCGAATGGCACGCTCCACACTGATATCATGGAGACCTACCACTGCTTTCCTCAGAAATCTGCCTCATAACCTGAAAAAGGAGCAGCGCGCGAGAGCGGAGCTTGACAGACCTCGCCCATGCGATCAGCGTAGGCTGCGCCTCTCAGATTTCCGGAATACCTTACCGGGAAGAGATTTACGTTGCCTCTTTATCACCTTTCGATCAGTTTAGTGGAATTTAACCGAGAAATGTAGGATTCTACTCACTGTTGCCTCCATCCTGAGCGTAACTGAGA